TTATATTATATATTGTAACATTAATATCTGTTTTGTATTTATTAATTATATTTTAATTAATTATATACACTTATTATATAATCATGAAGTGATTTCATTGCATACAGGTTAAAGAAATTGAGAAAAGAGATTCTGTGTTGACCCCCAAGCAACAAATTGATAGACTACTGCGACCTGGGTCATCCTATTTCAACTTGAATCCATTTGAGGTTTTACAAATTGATCCGAGCACAGCGATAGAGGAAATAAAAAAGAAATACCGTCGTGTAAGTATATATTTGTAACTACAATAAGAAATGTCATAATTTAATTCTTTTGATTTAAAAATTGTAGATGTCAATTTTGGTGCATCCAGACAAAAATCAGGATGACGCCGAAAGAGCACAGCAAGCCTTTGAAAGTAAGTAGATTGATTTAATTTAAAAAAATATGTACACACTATAACATGCTAAATATATCTAAAAAAATTTTATTTATTGTAGTTGTTAATAAAGCGTGGAAAACATTGGAAAACGAGGAAACTAGATCGAAATGTATGGATGTTATTGAGGAGGCAAAAGCGCGGACTGATCACATGGCAAGTATTTAATTATTTATCGAAATTTTATCCTTTGTAACAAGGTATATTACATTGCACAATCAAGTTTTATATGATATAATATTTATATGATATAATATTAATATTATGTATAAAACAATTTATTTAATTTTTCAGCACATTAACATCTTTCTAATAGGATGCTTGATTAGCATCAAATTATCAAATTGCTTGACAATTTAATATGTGACATTAATATAGTAGAATAATTGCATTTATAAGTCCGATCAATTCTGTGCGCAGTTCAAATGACTATATATTTAGTCAATACATAAATTCACACAGAAATTATTTAAGCATTTGAGATCCAGCTTCGATCATAGGCTTTAAATCCTTGTGTGTTTACATATATAGTCTTAATAAATCGTTTATTACAGTATATATATGTATAATATTTCATATTTATTTTTATCAATAATTAAAGATTGCAGAAAAAAAGAAGAAACAAAAAAAAGAAGGAAAATCTGAGAATTCGGGTCCGACACTTTTAGAGGAAGAAACTGAGGAAGGCTACAGACACGCAGTTTGGGTTATGACTATGAAACTATTCGCCGATATGGAGCGAAGAAGGTCATTTCACAATTTTGATTTTAAAAAATCTATTAATATAGTAGAAAAAAATTAATAAATTAGATGTTATATTCTCTTCAATATTTATATATGAAAATATATATTTATTTGAAATAGTAATTTCTTTTTCTTTTACAGACGAGAATTAGCCACGAGAGATGCAGAACAACGTAAAAGAAAGCGCGAAGAGGAATTGTCTGCAGAAGCCCAAGCAGCAATGGAGCGCGAATGGCAAAGAAACTTTGAAGAATCCAGACAATCGCGTGTCGACAGCTGGAAGGCCTTTCAATCCGGTACGAGTGCCACAAAGCAAAAGAAAGCGAAGAAGTTAAAAGCTTTTAGGCCGCCAAAAACGAAGGCGGAGTCGCGATAATCAATCATTTCTCGTTTTTCTCTTCCGGTGTGTGAATTCTAATTTCAATAGACGCAATGTTTTATCTTAGAGATTTTCTCACAACGTTAAGCTAGAGTAAGAAATCTAATTCGCGCGTTGATAGAACGATAAACATGCTGAATCACTTTATCTTGAAATTGAAAAAAAGAGAATATTTTGGATCTTCGATCCTTTTGATTTCAAGCTATCCAACAAGATAGGAATTTTTTTATTTTGACATTGTTTAAACGCCGAAATTCGAGTTTTTATGAAATATCCATAATAGTCAGTTTTATTAAATCTGAATATCATTAAATCTTTGACGAATTTTCGAAGGCATCTTTTTATTTCAAAAAAAAAAGAATTTTTATTTGAAATAAAAAGATTCTATTGCTGAAGATTACTGTCATCATTTCTATTTATCAACTCCAACTTAACATTGCTCACTAATATATTCAGAGTAAACAAAGTTCGGGGAGCTTGATGAAATCGATAGCAAGACTATTTTCTTGCTTAGATGTATAATCGTGATTCAAAGCTAGTAAAATAAAAATGTTAAAGGTATATACCGATGTTACCGTGAGTAAAATCGTAAGAATAAATTTGTGCGTTACTATAAAGAAAAAAATATACGGAAAATGCGGAGTAATAGCAAAGTTATTGGATGAATGATGAAATACGAATGTATCTCTTTATGTATGTGGTTGAGTGCAGTTTCGTATTATGCGAAATCTCATGCTGTTCATTTTGAAAATGACTTAAATCGTACATTAAAAATTTTTGTGAAAATGAATAATTATGAAAATGAATTTGCACTTTAAATATTCTAAGCTTATTTAAAGCTAATTTAGATTCATTTTTATTTTATATATTTTTATTTAAATTATATCCTTGTACATTTCCAAAATGCACAGCACGGCGATTCGATTGTGAGAATTTCTTGTATGTAAATTCTAAGTCTCTTCGCAGAGTTTGACAATTAGCGATTTTTTCATGAATTCTACAATTATTTCGACGACTTGCATATATATATATATAAAAAAAAAAGTATATTTCTCTGAAGCATTGTATATCCATAGTATTCTGACATCATTACGCAACACAATTGTCAATTTTATAATCTATATGTGTCTCATACCTTTATTATTAAATGTACGATTGTCCATCATAGGGAAAGTACACAGTTAGGTATATATTTATTGTACTGTGATGCGAAATCGTATACACAGTATAAGAGTACTACCATGATACTCTATTTCTGTAAAAATGCTAAGATCGTTAAAATTTCGAATATTTTAGAACAATGTGGACATTTTAATAAAAAATAATACACAAATCTTAAAACTCATTATGACGAAATTTGATATATGCAGAATATCGACAAAGTTTCAGAGTAACCTGTGATTTAACGGTTTGAGTCTTGGATCATCAAAATCTGTGAAAAGAGATTATCCAAAAAAGATTCGTAAAATGTCGAGATTGTAATGAAATTTTGTGCCATAAAAGATCGATTCGCTTTTTTGCAAAGACTTCGATTCTGCACTAAATGAGATCTCGGCTTTTCGGAACGCCAAATCTAAACTCCGCTATTCATGGACGATATTGCGATGACTCTTTTATAGCTTTATGAACATCTCGATATTGTCCGAATGATGTACAATTTTGCAAAGATCTGAAAACGAAAATGGTTCGTTCGATCTTTGAAATCTATTGTGAGATATGAATATATACGTATATAAAAAAAAATGTTTCGAAAAGACTGTTCATACTGCACGACGTGCTGCAATTTCGGATATGATCGTCTGATAGTGTATATATCGCTACTCAAATACATTAAAGAACCTTCCACTGAATCGATACAGCAATGCAAAATGTCCATTTAAATCTTGCATTCATGGGAGGAAAAATGCGTACATCGTTCTTGTTCCTCGGAATTCTTACAAGAAACATAGTGGATACCTTCTAACAAACGATTCAGTACAACACAATCCTCATCTCATCCTTGTTTAATAATGGCGAATAACAAGGATATAATGATGCACTGTGTCACACTGTGTCACGTATTTTTTGTTGGAAGGCACACAGTATAGTAT